TACCGAATGTTTCCTTCAAAAGGACTGGATGGACGCTTATCGTATGATCTTGATATTACTGCATTCAACTGGCAGCAAATGCTACAATGAATGCTGTAAAATGGTTTCCATTATAACCGGTATTTTTGCATGCTCATGACTATGAAAAATTCACCTTTATGGATGAACTTCTTCCTGATCGAAAGTCAATTTTTATAATTACATTTTTTAAAAGCTGGAACTAAATCCTTCTAGCAGCTCTAGAATGTTATGAAAGTGAAAAATATACTATTGTTAACAATTAAAATAATCTTTTTAAAAAGTCTTAGCTATAGTAAGAATATCCTAAATGTTTTTTATAACTTGGCATGGACTTAGTCCTCTTTGAGGTGCAGTGGCTTTGATAAATTGTTTATTTTTTTATGTAGCAAAAGTTATGACTTTAAAATTGTATACTGAGCAAATGAAGTAGACCATTTTGTAGGCAAGCGCTATGCACAAGTGTTTAGTTACTGAAGCACACAGAGGCTGAGTGCAAGGAGGGTACAATCTCTGATGGAAAAGCTGTAGGATGATAGTTCCAAGCCATTTTCCATTTTCCTCCCTCAAATACTATTAAATCAGTTGCACACTGTACAATTCAAATCCCAAAAGTCAGTGAATGAATTCAGAGTACACATGTAATATTCTCTACCTTTTTCTTGTTAAATGTATTGCTCAGTAATATTCATGTTTCTGCTGCTAAATACATACCATAAAAATATACAGGCTTTGCAATGCAACTGAGCATTGCTTTTGCAATCTTAACTTTTCCATTCTCTGATTTAGTGTAAATTTAACTGTGCAGTCTTAACCTAGTTTTTGGCATTTAATAATTGTAATGAAGTTCCCTCATTTACTGTTTTAGAGGCTGCTATCCCTGAACCTCAGTGTAAACTAAACATTTCTCACAGATCTTTATGGTAACAGAAAAAGTTCTATGTAATTAGGAGACAATACATGGTATTTATTAGAATTTTTACATATTTATATATTTTTACTTTGTGCCATCAGTATATTCAGTGACATTCAAGGCAGAAAGAGACACGTTTCCAACCCTTAAAATCTTATAATCTAAGGCAGGGGCGGGCAAACTTTTTGGCCGGAGGGCCACATCGGGTTTCCAAAATTGTATGGATGGCCGGTTAGGGGAGGCTGTGTCTCCCCAAACAGCCAGGTGTGGTCTGGTCCCCACCTCCTATTCAAACCCCCTGCTTCTCGCCCTGACGGCCCCCCTGGGGCTCCTGCCCCATCCAACCCCCCCGTTCCCTGACTCCGACGGCCCCCCCAGGCCCCATCCACCACCCCCTGCTCCCTGTCCCCTGACCACCCCCAGACCCTCCACCCCTGACTGCCCCCTGCCGCCCCATCCAATCTCCCATCTCATTCCTGACTGCCCCCCGGGACTCCTGCCCCATCCAACCCCCCTGTTCCCCGCCCCCTGACTGCCCCGACCCCTATCCACACCCCTGCCCCCTGACCACTCCCCCGCCCTCTATCCAACCCCCCCGCTCCCTTACCGCGCAGCACAGAGCACTAGTCGTGCTACAGCCATGTCACCCAGAGCACCGGGTCAGGCTGCAGCTCTGCAACGGTGCTGCCCGGCTACCCAGAGCGTTGCGCCGGTGGCACGGTGTGCTGAGGCTGTGGGGGTGGGGGGGGACGGGGGACAGCAGGGGAGGGGCCGGAGGCTAGCTTCCTGGGCCAGGAGCTCAGGGGCCGGGCAGGAGGGTCCCGTGGGCCAGATGTGGCCCGCGGGCCGTAGTTTGCCCACCTCTGATCTAAGGGGTTTCTGTTGTTCTGTAAGAGAGGTCAACAGTTTTGGAGTTGCACTGTTAAATTTAACTTCTTGCTTCTTTATGGTAGATTTTGAAAACAGTATTTTCGATGGCATACGTTGTGGTCTGCTATAGCAGGGTTTAATAAAAGAAAAAGCACTAAACATTTTAAATGGAGGCGTAGCAAGGTGGAGAGGCCTCCCACCGAGACTCACAGGTAGGAACCACTCCCGCCCTCTAGTGGGTGGAGCCAGGCTGGGCCTGCCCTTGTGCTGGAAGCAAAGGGGCAGAACGGGAAGTATAAGACATGGGGCCTCCAGCTCAGTTGGGCCAGAGCCAGGGACGGAGTTGGATGCCTCTGCCTTGCTGCTGGGCCCTGGGCCAGGGACTGAGCTGTGCCAACCCCTGCCCCCGGAGGAGGACCCTGAGGGAGGGGAATTGCTGAGGCTGCCATCGGCCAAATACCTCGAGGAGCTGCTGGGACTGCCGGCTGCCGAGTTCCCCAAAGAGACTGAGGACCCAAGAGCAACGAAGCCCTATGAACAAGGAGGGATAGGAAGTAGCCCAGGGAAACCAGACATTATTCTGGCTGTGTTGTCAAAACCAGAGCCAGCATGTTCTGGCAGGATCCACGCTGACCCAGTGGCAGGACTGCTCGCCACTGGTATGGCCCTGGGCTGGGACACGGGGGAATAGGGTGGGGCTGGGCCTCCTACCCCTGGTGCCAACCCCACCCCTGGGGTGGCAGCCTCCCCACCTTAGGCTGGACAGCCTGTCTGTGTTTGCCGTCTGCCTCAGCCAGGGATCTGGGCTAAAGACTGCCAATTGCCCTGCCCCATGCCAAGGGGCCAGGGTCCTAGACTCTTTGATGACACTTACTGTGCTAATCCCCTGGCAATTGACTATCAGCCGTTAGGTGGTGTAGCAAGGTGGAATGGCCTCCTTCAGCGACTGACAGGGAGGACCCACTCTAAACCACTACAGGAGGCAATTACAAATCCAGAGTTCATATTTCCATTGACACATCTCATTCAAACAGACAAAACAACATGCTAAACGGGAGCTCATTCATCAGGACATGCTTCCCTTTGCTCTCTGCCTCTGGCAAACAGTCAGATTACCTTGAAACTAGCTGCATGCCTACAGTGTATTATTTGATTGTTCTATGGTATTTTTGATGACTTCCATAGGGATTCACAAAGTTGATTTTACAGACCAGAAAGGGACTGCAATATCTTTTATCTGGGTGATACCTTCCAGAAGCAGCATTTCTTCTTCTCCCCAGGAACACAACTATAATCTTCCCCCATTATAAACATTTTATCTGTAATTCTAAAGGCACCAGTTTTCTCCTCTGTTCTCTGAACAGTTTTGAAGCACGGGATAAATTTTTCCCCTACACATAGCCAAATCTTAAGAAATATATCTGTTCACTTTGCTATCAATTGCCAAGTCCTATTTACATGGAATCCCAGCCTGGCATGTGGGAAGATGGCAGAGGCACTAACTACTTAGCAGAAAATGTGAGAAAGTCCTTAGGCTGAACAAGATTATTAAAAATCCTGGACGCGTATTGTCTGAATACTTCACAGTGTACAGAGAATGCCAGCTGAGACTAGTCATCAGCAAGAAAAAAAAATTACAGCATTTTATACATTTTATTTTCCTTCCTCTTCACCTCCCATACAGAGTACTCTGTCACTGTTTGCTTTCACTGTAACACACAGCAAGCATTTCAGTTTGTTCTTTCACAAACACAAAACATTAGAAAACCTTAGTTAAGGAGGAAGTTGGGGTCAGGTCACCTGTATCAAATGATTCAAAGGTTTACATTTTACATGATTGTGAATGAATAAGAGGCATGACTAGACCATAGAACATATTACTGAAAAACGAATATTGTTGAAAATGAAGGCCTCAGTCATGTCTGACTTTGCACAGGAAGGTGGAGAGGTTGCAAAGAGCCTTTTTCCCTGGCTCATTGCCAAGGGCAAAAATTCTGGAGGGAAGTACAGGCAGTGCTCCCTGCTTGCTCCCCTATGGCTTCTAACTTCATGGAGAAGGGCAGGGTAGGATGGCTATGGTTCTCTGACTCATGCCCACAGCAGCCACCAAAGCTTCCTAGACTTCCAAGGCGAACACACACTCAGCCCCTTGAAAAGTTACTGGAACAAATACCACAGCATTTGCTTCTCAGGAATCCTTAGGAGGAGATCCAGTTGCAGGACAGCTCCCCACCTTTACTAGAATGCGGCTGTGGCTTAAATGCAACAGTCTAGCTCCAAACTTTCTTCCTCTGTAAGACACGGTGCCTGCAACTGTGCTATACATGAATGGGGCCCTAAACATAGCCAAACAACCTCAGCAGCTAAAGGTAGTCATGTTAGCTCAAATGCTTGTTTCTGACAAACAAGAGATGATCATTTTGTAAACTATACAAAATTAAGGCCCTGATCCTGCAACACCTATGCACGTATTACCTATAGTCACATAAATCGTGACACTGACTTCATTAGAGTGAAGTTGAAAATAAATATAAAATGTTTTCAGAACTATTAAGTTAACATTTTCTGAATGCTTTCCATGCAAATTTATTGCTCTCAAAATGTAAGATCCAAGTTCTAATTCCAGTATGTGGAAATGCACACCACCTCTTACTGTATGGAAAAATTAGCATTTCACATGTGTGTGGAAAGGTATCAATTTTTTCAAGGCATGTCATGATTTATGCTTATGCATCTGAGATTAGACTCTAGCCCTGCACTTGGTCTTTCCAGAAGCTGGAAGGTTAGATCTCCAACACAACCCTTCAACAGTTAAGATACAGATGGCAGACAGTAGAAAGTTACAGAAACCAAAATCAGTCATGCCAGAACTTTCAAAATCAACAACATTTTCACACAGATGCTCTCAAAACTAAGATAATATGTACTACTGTTTCCTTTACATGTTGACAGTTTATGTGCATTCTTTAGGTTATAAAAATCTTCTCAAAGAATAGTTTTCCAGAGAGTGATACAATGGCCCTGGGTGTGCAGAATAGCTTTGGTTTGGTTAAACAGGCTACAATGCAATGAGCACTCACCAAAAAGGCTGTAGGGTATTTAAAGTAAGTGCACCTATCAGCTTTTTTTTAAAATTACATACTTCTTATTTTAATCACTTTTTCTGTAGGAGTTTTAATTGACTATAAAATAAACATACCTGTGTTCTGTGAGAACATTTACTGCTGACGGGTGGTTGGCACAGTATGCAAGGTATAAGTTTTTCATTTGTGGCATTAAATTTAGAAAGCATCCTCCAACCCTTTGCTGAGCTTCAGGCAACCTAAAGTAAGTGACATAAAGGAAGATTAAATTATAGTAGCACTATCAAGACAAAACAAAAGACTTAAACAGCAAGAACATGTTACACTTTGAGAAAGGTGACCTCAAATTACTCTACAACCATCAGTCTATCACAGAATCAGTAACTACAAATATCTTCCTCTCCCAATGATTCTACCCTATAATCTCCATATATTGCCATGCAAAGCTATGTCACCATACTGTAGGCAGAATGTACAGTGACACTTATAATTAAGGCTACAATTTAATCGTGGGTATTTTTAGTAAAAGTCATGGACCGGTCACAGGCAATAACCAAAAAGTTACGGGCTGGTGACCTGTCCATGACTTTTACTAAAAATACTCTTAATTAAATCTTAAGGTGTGTGTCTGTGTGGCTTCCAGGGATGCTGCTGATCCTGGGGGGAGGGGCACTCCAGGCCCCCAGCTGCTGGGGTAGTGGGGTGGCCCGGGGCCCCACCACCACTGCTGCTGCTCTGGGCAGTGGGTGGCCAGGGGCCCTGCCGCTGCTGCAATCCGTGACCTCCATGAAAGACTCGCAGCCTTACTCATCATTAAAGGTAGTCTTCGGCGGGATCTTCACATCAAAGTTGTACTGGTATGATAACGTCAGTCAGGGGTGTGATATTTTTGCCAATATAGTTATACTTGTTCAAGCCCTAGTATGGATGTAGCTATACCAGAATAAAGGTGCCTTACACTGGTATAGTTACCCCTCTCCCCCGAGTGGAATAGTTATACTGGTTTAAAGGACCTTTACACAGATATAACTGTGTTTACACTAACTTAACAACAAGTTGTAAAGTGGTACAACTTTCTATTGTAGACAAGGCCTTTGTCAGTTGTTCATAAACCTTTTCAATCATTTACTTTTTAGGGTGGAATTTCCCGTGTTTGGTTTCTGCATGAGGGTGAATTTGGCTGAAAAGTTTCAACAAAAACAATTTATCAACCCCAGCACTAATTCCAGCACCACTGCCTACCAGGACTGCTGTGATGGGAATCCAAGCCTTTGGCACTCTGGATCTCCAAGTTCTTGGAGCCTGGACAGAGCCCAACCACTGCCCCAGTCAGGCAGCTCCCCGCTCAGACTCCCTCCCAGGGAGGGCGGCGGAACACGCTGTGGGGACAGGCGCAGCGGGAGGAGAGCGCCCCCTACAGGTAACGTGCAGTGGAGAGAGCGCGGTGGCCTCGAGCTGGGTGCGCAGGGGTTGCCGAAGGAGGCGGGGGGGAGGGGACGGGACAGATGCATGACCGGTCATGTGACCTCCCCTTTAGATCGCTCCCCCATTCATCTATGGCAGGGCGCACTCAGGGGAGGGGGCAGGGCGGGAAGAGGTGGAGTGAGGATAGGGCTGGGGATGGAGTGGGGGTGGAGCACACCACAGAGAATCAGAAAGTCGGCTCCTGTGCTTCGGACTCCCTGGTATTTAAACACACCCCTCTCCCAGAACTGCACCCCAAAGGTGGCAAGCTTCTGGTTTACAGCTGAACTCTCTCAGGTGTACCCAGCAGTTGGTGAAGCAGAAAGAACACACATTTTGTCCAGTTTAACATCTTTACTCTCTTTGTATTCCTACTCATGTAAAGCACAAGATAGTACAAAGCATACTCATAAAACGTCCCTCATGTGCTAGTTCACCCTTTCCTTGTGCAACCATCCGGGTCCAGGCAGACAGCCAGGGTCCTCTACCCCCTTGCCCACCCACCCTGCCCCTCCTTCACCTTAATCTGTTGCAAAATAGCTCTCTCCCCTAGTTCCCTCCTCTGAGTCCCTTAATACACTTCTGTTTCTTTCATTCTGCCTCCTGGAAACTTTCCATTGCTTCTAAATCCCCCTCTCTTCAGATAAGAGGAGGAAGTGTCTTTTCCCAGCTAGAGCCAACCCACTGTCCCAACCTGTTTTGCTTTGAACAGACCATCCTTGTGGGCTGATCCCTCACTATTGTCTCTGGCCAGGCAGAAGCAGGATACAACCTTGTTAATTCATGGCTGATCCACAAACATACAGGCTTTCCATGACAGTAATTTCATGATGCAATTTCATGAAGTCATGCACCATTTAGAAGTGGTACAGACAGTACCCCAAACAGTCACAATGGCATTGGAGAATAACTGAGAGGCCTGTCTGCCCTCCTCAGCTGGTTTTTGGGGGAAAGGAGTGCATCTCTCAGCCATCTGAAGAAATAACAGCTGTTCTTGTGGATTTCCTTGTAGCATTTTTTCTGTCTGGACCCAAGGTCCCTTTAATAATTCTAATCTGGAGTTAACTGAACATATCTGATCACAGGCACCGACTTTCATTTTTCTGGGTGGGTGCCTCAGCCCCACTCTACCCCTTCCCCTAAGGCCCCACCCTAGCTCCGCCTCTTCCTGCCCCCTCTCCCCAGCGCCTCCAACCTGCCACTGAACAGCTGATCAGCGAGTGTCTGGTGGGTGCTGAGCACCCTTTTTTTTTCTTTTCTGTGAGCGCTCCAGCCCCGGAGCATTCACAGAGTCAGCGCCTATGCTTCTGATCTAACCTCAGAGTGCTCAACAAAAATCTCGAAGCACCTAATACCAAGATGACTCAACAGCACAGTTCTACATCCTCGTGGGAGTACAAGCATATGTCACCCTGTTAGCATCCTATGTGGATTTGTGGTAATGTAAAAACACTCCATTTAAGGTATGACAGTTAAATAGAAAATATAAAAACGATTATATATATACTTGGTGGGGTGGGAGGAAGGATGCAAATAGGTAACAGAATGTTTGGAACATTATGAGGGGAATATGTTCAGAAGTAGTAGCCTTAGGGATTGTCTACACTGCCCCACAACTTGGACTAAGGGGGTGTGAATACCAAAGCACAGCTCTGTAACTCTCCCAAGTGGACACTGCAAGTAAAAACTAAAAGGTTCCTTGTTCACGTTAACATAGTTCTGACTGAAGATGATTTTCTTAGTAAGAGGGTCATACAATTAATATCAGTAAAATCAACATTCCTACCCCAGTATAAGGACATATAGTGAAGCAACAAAAATAATCATAACTACAGCATAATTTTTTTCACGTTATTTCAAAGCCACACAGGCTTGGTCTTTACCAGGAAAATGACATGCCACTAACAATGTTTGTTGGCAACAGGCCACCCCCTCACCCCCTGAATTGCTGCTGAAAAAGGATTTATTGGTCTCTCTCAATATTGTTTTCTGTTTACCTGACACATTTTTGATAATTTTTCCACACAGAGACATCAAATTACCTGTACCTTCCCCTCAGACATTCTGTACTTTTACCAAAAGACCATGAAATTATTCTCTACTGTACATTTTTAGAGGCATTGTAATATTAGTCTATACATTCCCCACCGACATCAGCTAATTAACATACAACACACAATGTGAGACAGTTGGTAACCCATTTCCTTTGACTTTTCTAGATCATGCATCAGTCATTAATATTTTTCTATTATTTTGCAGGAGCAATGAATACATTAACTATTATAATGAGCATGTCATTTTTATCTCCTTTAGCTGTTGAAGAACAAAGGTTAATATCTGTCACCACATCGCATGAAGCTATTAGCAATTAGCATGTTCAAATCCAATAAAGATGATAGTTATTTTATATAATTTATTCTCAAGTTGACATTCCATTAGTATTCTCATATGTTTGGTATTGTAATTAAAAAGCAATTACAGGAATTAAAAATACTCAACAGATGTATGTATATAACATACACACAAATGATTTAGAAATGACAATTTTTCTCTGCTAGCCAAGTTATAGTTAAGGGTCTGTCAATAGATCTATTATAAATGACAGTGTTATGGTTTTGGGGTTTTGGTTTTTTTTTTAGCTCTATGAAGTTTCAAGATAATATAATTTTTGAAGTATCAAGTCTCAGACCAACAGCTACTTTATTTTCAGAGAAATTTTGAATTAAAGTACAGTAGTGTGACAGTTTGAGTTATGAGAGGACCAAAAATGTATATTTACTCTCTATATGAAATTATAAGGTCTAATACACAACCTGCATTGTTGCACATTTACTATACCAGCTGACCTATGACTACATAGGAGTGTATCTGTAGATTACAGTTACTCATTATGAGATATATGAGGACTAGCCTCAATGATATTACTTAGGGTTAAAATGGAACACTATTCCCTGATTTTTCGAAAATAGTGACTAAAAGTGGGATATGCAGTAGCTCAGTCACAATCTTTTCATGAGTCTGGACGGCCAGGACCATGAGCTATATCTAAGACTAGACTGGCACCCAGAATAGACAGTAATATTAGTATTATATGCCACTAAATCCTATATTGAAGGACCTATGTATTTTGCAGAATACTGGACCTAAATTCTGCTGCAAGGACTCTGGATACCGCAATACTCCGGTGAAGATCTTAGAAATGTGGTAGCTTCAGACACATTTTTTTTAAATTTAGTTTTTTATAGAATTAAATATAACAATAAATACAACTAGTACTGCAGACCCATTGTTATTTAATTTATGCTGTCCCCACACTTCCAGTTTTCAAAACATCACATGTACAAGATGTCAGAGGAAAGCTGGAGGTTGTGGCAATTGAGTAAGGCTGTTGGCACTTGAGGATGCAGTTTGGGATAGTGGAATAAACACATTAACTCAGAGGTCCCCAAACTTTGGGCCGCACCGCCCTAGGGGGCGCAGAGGAACATCTGGCAGGGCGTGGCAGGGTCTAGGCCAGCTCCCATGGGACCTGCTCTGCCCCTAGTTCTGCTCTGGTCCTGCCAGTAGCTGTGTCCCCAGCTCCTGGCCCTGTTCCCAGCGGCTCCGTTCCTGGCCTGGGACCAAGGCTGGGGACGGGGCCAGGAGCGAAACCCCACCTGGCCACAGGTCCGGCTGCCAGCCCCCACCACAGCCCGGCTGTGGCTCTGCTCCCGCCACTGCACTCAGCCTCAGATCCACCCACAGCTGCGGCCCCAGGCTCGGCCCCCTTACCCCT